AGCCATACCCTGAGGTTGGTGGAGATCCTCAACCCGAGGAAGTGAATACTCCAGTATCTCCTCGTGAGGAGCGACTCTTAGGTAAACTTACCGGTGTTATTCGACAGACTCTCGAAGAACACAAAAAGAATGATGATAAAGGAAAAAGAAAGTCACTGGAGAATCTTCAAGCAGAAAGGTGAAGCGCCCCTCGTTCAAAGATTTCAAGAGTAGTGGTGCTACGGAGTTTTCTGGTGTCCTTAATCCTATAATTGTTCTAACTTGGATTCAGAACACCGAGAAAGTATTTCGTGTTTCTCATGTGGATGATGAAGACAAGGCTATCTATGCTTCTGCAATGCTCATTGGAGAAGCCTTAGTCTGGTGGGAAGCAACATATGAAGCTCTCGATGGATGTGACCAGGAGAACTTATCCTGGGAGTTGTTCAAGACTCGTGTGCTAGAGAAGTATTGTCCTCTAGATATGAGGAGAAGATTGGAGAAGGAATTCCTCGAGCTTAAACAAGGAGGAATGACTGTGAATGAGTATGAAACTCAGTTTAATCAAAGAGCAAGGTTTGATACGAAGTATATTCCAACTGAAACAGAGAAAATTTAGTTATTCATGGAGGGACTATGACACGAAATCCATGATTTCATTGTCAATCGGGATGTTCTGTCATTCGATAAAGCCGTTGAGTATGCTCGAAGACGTGAGCATGACTTAGAGATACGTGGTTCCACTCTTACTGTTCCAAAGCATCCACGTACTGAAAGAACTACTCCTGCTTCCACTATTCCACCAGCTCAATCTATTCGAACTGATCCTAGCAAGCAAGCACAATCTCAGAGTGCTTTTCGTGGCCGCGGTAGGTCACAATCTTTTTCTATTCAATCGCCTTCATGTCGCGTTTGTGGAAGGAATCATCCGGGTCAATGCAAAATAGACAAGGAATCCATTGTCTGTTATGGGTGTGGAGAAACAGGTCATATAAAGCCAGCTTGCCCAAGGAAGGATGTGACTTGTTATGCATGTGGTATTACTGGCCACAAGAAGCGTTTTTGCCCTACTCTTACCAGCCAAGTGATGGGAAGTCAAGCTTCTGTTCAACAACCGGCGAGAAGTCAAGTCCCTGTCCGACAACCGAAGAGTACCCAGCTAAAAAGGAGGAGGTGCCAAAAGCTAAGGGTCGTGAATTCTAGATTACCACAGAGGAAGCACGTGAGGACCTAAATGTTGTGACGGGTACATTTCTTTTCAACTCTAGACCTGCTCACATCTTATTTGATTCTGGTGCCTCAGATTCTTTCGTATCTTATGAATTTGCACATTCTTTTCAAACTGTTTGCTATGCACTCGCGCAACCATTTCATGTAGATACTGCAAGAAGTATATCATTACTTGCTGATAAAATCTATAGGGATTGTGTCATAGAAATTG